AAAAATGAGTGGAAAATGGGGTTTTGGTGTGTGGGGGGGGGTCGATGTGTGGTGCCAATAGCCTAAATAGGCAAGGTATCAACTAACTGATTATCGGTTGTTGGTTTTTGGCAGCGCCTTCCGCTTCTTCGATGCTCTGCAGCTGGTACGTCATGTTACTGCCATGTGCGGAACACAACAGCATCAGCTCGACTTGAACTTTCTTGCAACTGTTGCTTGTGGACCAGGGAAGCAGCAAAGCTTTCTCAGTGTCGCTCATTTCTCTCTGTCTCTCCCAGTCTCTCCCTTCAGGTGCTTGCGAGCAAGCGCACCTGGCAGCAGTTCCAGTGAGCCGGAGTTGGTTGCAAGAAGCTTTGCAGGGCTGACGGTACCGTCCGACCCAGAGCCTCCGCTAGGTCTCGAGGCTAGCTCACTGAGGAATCTGCGAAAAAAGCCCGTCCTGCCAGGAGGGAAGTTAAAAAGGGGGAGGGGTGTCCAGTTTTTCGATGCGGAGGAGTGTTGCCGCGAAATCCCTCGCGGTGTTTGGAGGCTTCATCTAGACCTTTATTGATTGCAGACCACATCGAAGAAGAGTGCTGTCATGTTTCACGTAGCCTTGGTATCCTGATGGAACCTTCCAGGAAGACAAGAGCCACAGCAGCAACCCTGCAGCAATGTCGGAAAACTGCGCGATGCAGCCATGCCGGGAATGATTGACACGCCTCTAAATTAGTAGCCATCTACGGGTACAGCTGACCTTGTTGGCAAGGCCGCGCTGGGTTACAACATGATCCACTTCACACCCATTCAAAAACCAGGCTTGGATGGGCTGAGATTGACCACGGGCTGACGGCTGCTTGCTCTCATCGGTTTCTTTCACTGTTCCGTAGGTTTCATGCATAAAGGGAGCAGCTGTGCAGCTGTCAAGCGGCACCGCACTTCGGCTGAGAGTGCACCTGTGGTGCAAGCATTTCTGGATCATCTCCGTGCAGAGTATGTATGCTTTCTTTACGTTGTGTTCAGCAACTTAAGATAGTACACCAGTCCTGTTACCCGATTTAGTGTTTGCAGGCTTCATCGCTATGTTTCCGACAGGTGAAAGCGGAAGCTGCTATGCGCTGGACGACCAGGCTCGACTCTTTGACGGAATTGAGCTGCTCTGGATGTGGAAGCGGTTGCTGCAGTCGACGATAGAGATGTTTACAGTCCTGATTGGACGATTGGACAGGGAGATGTTGATCCCACGCTCATGGAATCACCACCGGCCGACATCGCTGGGAGGCTCACGGGAATGAGGTTCATGCTTCGACTTCAGCACGTCTACCGCCTGGGCAGCTCCATCTCCCTAAGAACTCCAACAAACCGAATCTGTTCAGGTTTCAGGCGGTGCAGAAGTCGGTTGTGGCTTGCTGGCATCAGCACAGGCCAGTGTGGCATTGCAGGGCCTCAGACAATCCATTGCCGAAAATGGCGATCGACTCTCTAGCACTTCTCCGCGTCATCAGTGCTGTACCTTGGGAAAAGCCGGTATTCCACAACTCCAAGGAACGACTCGAGGAAATGGGGCTCCTCTCTGCCATAGACATCGTGGCGTTCTGAGCCGATGCACTTAACTTTCCGGCCGCTTCTTCGAATCTTTGACCTCAGCCTTCTCTCTGAAGGTGCTGAACCACTCTGCAGGCACGAGCTGGCATGTCTCTGAGCGGGTCTTTGGGTTGAGAGTAGGTCCCCTGCTGTAGGTGTGCAAGTGAGTGGGTTCGGAAAGCACGATGTGGCTGTCATGCTACATGTCACCAAATCCATGAACCGTGCAGCGCAGTTTGCAGCAGGCAGTGCGCCATGGCTCTTGGAGCACCCGGAGTCCGGCTACAGTGCGACCCGGCGAGAACTGGAGTGACAGAAGCAGGTGTCCTGTCGTGTAAGAGGAAAGTAAAGCCCCGTTCTGAGCGGTAAGCCACACTACCCCTAAAATTGCAGTTTCGCCGCCGGCCGAGACGGTTTGGCTCTTGGTTCCAGAGTAGGTTTGATGTTTATTCAATAGCAGTGCAGCATCGCAGCATTCTAGCACAAGCCCGAGTTCAGCCAAGCTGTACTTGTGTCGTTTACGGCTTTATTACCTTAGGATTGAAGCTCTTTGGACATCCATCAAGCCCAGTTACAAAAAGGAATGACGCTCCTGGCCCCGCGGGCTTCTGTCAGGCTGCTGCATGCCACTGAAAGACCCTCGCTGTCCGTTGCAATGGTGCTGGAGACACTATCGTTACTGTTTGCTGCAGCTGGGGGAGCGGCTTATGTCAAGGTGGCACGAACTGCCAGGATAGAAATGTCGCTGACTGCATTTAGCTCTGAGGGTCACTGCTTGCGTTCTGCCGCAGCAAGCCCAGCAGTCCATCCCTAAGCGAACGGGGATGCCCGCGGCTTCGTACTCTCTGAATGACAAGAGTCAATGAGGGAGAGCTGGGCATGGACAGCGGCGGACTAAGTGGTAGATCCCATCGCGCTGCTGCCAGGGCTCTGCAACCGTCTCCGACAGCCTTCAGGCGACGTTGTCTCGGGCTTTCGATCTGGGGGAGCCGCTTCTCTTGATGTCGTGAAGGTGGAAGCAGCTGGAACATTTGGAACTTGTGCCTTACCGGGTTCGTTCTTCTGCATTTGCCTGCCAGTGGCTTGGAGGTTCTGGTGGGCTGGAAGAAACCGAAGCGACGCGTCGCCTGCAAGGACACCTCCGTGCATCTACTGTAGAGTATGGATGATTGCAAGTGAAGTCTCACGTTACCATCATAACACCGGGGGAGGACTGTGCTGGCTGAACAAAGGTAATGTCATCTGCTGGCAAAACTTTGTAGGCATTCTTTGCTTATGTAAGCATGGATCGGCGCACAGCCAAGTTTCTTTTTTGAATCGACAGTGTTGCACGTCCCAAAGAAACATCATACCGTCTTCGGTCCGGGGAGCTCAAAGCCTTGGTTGTTGGTCGAAAACGTGTGCGGACACGGTGCGTACGTGTGGTCGGGCGCAGAACGGTACCAAGCGGTTCATTTAAGGCCAAGGTGTGCGCTCGAGCCCGTCGACCATCTCCAGCCTGCGAACGATCGAGTTGAGGACCTAAGGCCCTCGTATCAAGTCATCAAATGTCATCAACACGCCGAAGACGTCAATGTGGAAAGGTGAGGGCCTGTTCGGTGTTTGCAGGCGTTTTAGCGCACCGGTACCGTTACATATCATGACCTTCGCACCTTTCAAGAAGATCAATGAAACAGCGAGGGACCGAAAGCATTAATTAGTGTTGCAAGTCCTCATCGAAGGCCAGTTGCAGCAACGACAGGGCCCTTGGTGACACCAGCCCAATGCACCCCGAGGACGGCGACCTCCCTTTCGTGGCTTGGAGAGATGTCTGAGATGCACGGAATGAACTAGCGACCGAGATTACCATCCAACGCGACTGCAACTACAGGCATCCCGCATGACTCAGGCAGAACACGTTTCGATGAAGATGGGTGTGACATGTGTTGCATGTGGCACTCAGGTGGATGCCGGCTCCCCCGCTGTTCGCTGTTTCGGTCCTGGCCGCGAGCGCTGCGGCGAGGTCTGCGCTGCCAAAGATTAGGGGGAGCAGCTTGTGGGGATCAGAATGCAGGTCCGATACTTGGCCCTCTTCACAGACCAGCTGCTGTTAAACGCGACTCCAGGGCCGCCGGAAGAAACAATCTCCATTGCAGGCAGAGCGGATTGGCATGTGAAGAGATTCGAAGAGCTGTGCACGCACAATAGAGGCAGCTAAATAGAGCAATTAAGTGTGTGAGCACCTCAAGATTTGCCTCGGAGTCGGCTAATGTCGGCACGATCCTCTGCAAGGTGCAGAGGTGACGCACCAGGCTGCAGTCCTGCTTGTGCAGCTCCCAGAGAAGGCATTCTCGCCCCTTGGAAGACAAGCACGGGTTGTCCGGTTGTACATGAAAATCGCCGGAGCCTGCTGCGGGTGTTTCTGGTCATGCTCGGCGAAGCCCCTACTGCTCAGTGCTCTGTTTTTTGGTCTGTGGCTGCCGACTCGTTCAAGCCCTTAAGTCAGCTCGCAGCTGACGTTCCTGTGTAAGGCTCTGGTTCGAAGATGCAGAGGACGGAGTTCAGGGAGTAATCCGCGGTTTGCAGAAACTTCACAGTTGCAGGAAGCGGAGTACTGGGCCGAGAGTCTGGGATTTGCTGCAGGCGCTGCTGCCCCGTCGGAGGAGCACAGAGCAAAAACCCGATCGGGGCCAAAATACGAGTTGTCCTCCGCCCTGAACAAGCAATTAATGGGTATGAATCGGTATGGATTGTGCGAGTCTTCCCGTAGATTCTTGGCAATCTCAGCAGCAGACATGCCAGAGAGCATCCCATAGTTGCGCTTTTCAGGAGGAGCAGCTGAAGCTGGAAGGGATGCACAGTTCGAAGGCAGGGATCACTCCTCTCGACAATTTTTGAAGGTCTTGCGTGAAGCCAGCTTCCAATACGATATTGGGCATGGCACAGGGCAGAGGGCCACTTCTGTGCTCCAGGTACAGGAGCTGGAAAACCGCGTCGCGGCTGCCTTGCGGGCAGCTTACGACCGATCAGCCCGCATCAAGGCCTGTTTGCTTTGTGCCCAAGCCTGGCGGCCTAGCAGACCAGCCCTTTCGCTGCAGGAGCTTGAAGATACTATCGAGTCGGGCAAGGCCACCGAGAAATCGCGAAGTTTGTCCAACTGCACATGTCTGGGCTTAACTGAAACTTCTGCCAATCGCCCGAGGGGGTGTACAGGCTTGCAACATGTAGCCCCCATCTTGCACCGGCTTCCAAAATCTCAACGCTGGCAAAGATCTCCTGAGTTTCGATGCAGGACCGCGAGATTCGCATCCAGCAGCTTGAAGAAGTTCTGCACGACACCCTCGAGGAGGCGAGAAAGTCGCATGGTGTCTGTTTGTCGTGTGTTCCACGAAATTTCCCGAATCTGCAGGCCGAGGCACGAGCCGAGCGCATCGAGGCGAGGACCAAAAGCTTGATGAAGGGCGCCGCAGGGCACCGCTGAGCCTCCCTGCAGGCTCTGGAGTGGCAGCTTGACTCAAAGGATGGGGTCTCGGATCCGGTCGCAACTGCCCTGCTGCAGGACTCGGCGTGTAGAGATGGGCAGAGTGTCTCCAAAGTTCCAAGATCGCTCTTCGAGAAACTGCAAGGACGCGATGGACTTCGCAGATGAACTCCTCGAGCAGCACTCCGACATGTGGACAGACCCTGGCTATCATAAGGGGGTTGCATGTTCGAAGAAATGCGTGAAGATAGATAGATAGATAGATAGATAGATAGAGAGATATATATATATATTATATGTCTCTCTCTCTCTCTGTGTGTGTGTGTGTTTGTGTTCGCAGCTCGAGGAAGACGACAGCGCAGCCCAACTCAGAGAAGCTGTGCAGGTGTGGCATGGCAAAGTGGAGGGCTCGTCTTCTTGGAAACCCCTTAGAGAGTGTTTTATTTGGTTTACATGCGTCTTCTCACGACCACTCCTCGCAGCCAAACCTGACCAGACTGCTGGTCGAAGGACACATACCTTGAGGGTTGCACTCGCGAAGTGGAATCGCAAATTGTGTTTTTCCCGAAAGCATCGCGAAGGGGTTTTCCGCGCGGAGCTCTGGAGAATTACATGGGATAACTTACATAGATCAGTTATACATCGAGACTGATACATCGAGACTTAAGTAAGTTAAGTTAAGCTAAGTTAAGTTAAGTTAAGTTAACTTACGTAAGTTAAGTTAAGTTCAGTTAAGTTAAGTTAAGTTCAGTTCAGTT